ACATATGAGAGAGAAACATTGATCAGTAGCCTCATGCACACCCCACACCAGGATGGAGCCTGCAACCCAGGCATATGCCCTGACCAGAAATTGAATCAGTGACCACTTTATCCATGGGTCGACGGTCAACCACTGAGCCACACTGGCTAGGCTAAAAACAGCCTTTTAATTAGCATTGTTAAAAATGTTTTCTATGAAAATTTTAAAAACTATGAAATGAAATAAAAATAACTGTAAAAGTCATTTCAGGAAAGTTGAATTAACATCTTATACATATCCTGTCAGTCCTTTGTGAACTTAAAATTTTTACAAAATTGGAATTATATTTTAAAATTTTCTTCACACTTAATGTATCTGTTGATAAAATTTCCTCCATATCATTTTTAGAAGCTGAGTACTATTCTGCTGTATGGATGTAGCTTATTTAACCAATATTCTAGTAAAAATGCAGTAATGAATACTTTTGCAATAAAATTGTTACACATATCCTTATGCTACATTTCCATTAAAGTAACTGACCTGTCAAATGCATTTGCTCAAGGCTTTTGATACATATTGTTAAGCTATACTCTAGAATTTTGCCAATTTATACTCCGTAGTATAAGAAAACCTGTTTCTTTGAACACTTACCAGTATCATCAAGATTTAATCACTTATTAAAATAACATCCGAAGACCAAATTAATGTTGCATCACTCATAAGTCTAACTTATTATTAAACTTCTAGAATACTACTATTCAAAGCTTAAGATTCATGTATTTTAGCTGAAGAATCTGAGGTCCAGTAAGTTACATAACAAACCAGAAGGCTCTTTTGTGGGTGTTTCTGTAGAAGATATTATATTGTAGTACTCTTTCCGATTTGCCACTCTGCCTTATCAATTATGCTTTTTCCTACCCCTACCCCCCTTGTAAGGTTATAGGTTTCCCAGGAAAAGGTATGTATTTTCATTATCAAGGGCTGGAAGCTTGGCATATTCTATTAGTTTAGCACTATTTTTTCCTAGTTGTTTCCTAGCTTGGATTTCACATTTGTTGAAGAAAACCTTTCAGCATATTAACTTTTTTAAAAAAAGTCTCCCTAATCTTGGATAAGGATCTATTTCATTCATTCGACAGCTCATTTATTCCCAGTCTCATACATTCAACAGTACTTCTCTAATGTCTTACTGTGGGGAATAAAAGTGAATAAAACAAATGTAGTCCCTGCTCTCATAAAACTTACATTTTTAGTAGGGTGAAGAAAAACAATGAAAAAATGACAAATTATAAAATGCTATTAAAATAGAGGGTCATGTTGAAGCTTAGTAATTCCTCCTTTGGAAAACTGCTGTTTGAAACTATTGTTTAAACTACTCTGTTATTCTTAGAGTCTCTTATTCTGTAGGTCAAATCTGTTATTTTTAGATAGTCCTTTATTCTGTAAAATAACTGTTTTAGTTTGAATAATAGAAAAAAGATAAAAACTGAGCTGTCTGACCTTGCAAGCTAGCCATCTGACTTAAAGACTAATACTGATACTGATAATAATTCCCATATTCTTATGCCAAGTATTGGTTCATTATGTATTCAAGGTTACAAACTGTCTATAACAATACCTACACAGAACTCTTTGTGAAATCTGCAAAGAAGCTCAAAAGGTATAAATATGGGAAACTTCCTCTACGTCAGGTCTCAGAGATGGGGGAAACACCTCCCTCTGGGCCCGAATAGTCTCCTAATTGGCTCATTAAGGCATCTGTGTCTATCTCACTGATTTGCTATACAACAATGTGAGAGAGAATAAGTGAAAAAAGGAGCTACTTTAGATATGGTGGCCAGGGAAGAGTGTTAGAGATAATACCTGTGTTAAGACCTGAAGGATGAGAATGAATTAGCCATAAAGACTTAGAGAAAGCATATCTCAGGCAGAAATAAACAGTAGGTACAAAGGTCTTGTGGAGGATCAGTTAAGTTGAATTGAGTACAAGAGACCCTAAACTGTAACTTTAATGACAGGTGTTTTTTTTTATATCAAAAATCTGAATGTCAGGAGCATAGAGCTAGTATGATACTCTACAAGGATCTCAAGGCCCCAGGGTTCCGCCAGCTTAAGGTTTTGCCATCCTATGATGTGGGAACCTGCACCTGGCCCAAACTGGCAGCTAGAATTAAATGCTTCACATCTGTATTCCAGGGTGCAGGATATAAAAAAAAAGCAGCAAAGGACTAAAGATGTCTTTTAACACGATATACTTACCTGCTTATTGGCCAGAACTACCACATGGCTATAGGGAGGCTGGAAATACAGACTGTATTCTGGATAGCCATGTACCCATGTCTATTACTATGAAAAAAATTGGAAAAATTTTAGGGGACAACCAACAGTCTCTGCTATAGACTGAAAACAGCTTGACACATGACAGATACAGAAAGGAAAGGTGAGAGCAAGATGAAGTTGGAGAGGTAGGCAGATGCCAGATTATACAGTTTTAAAGGCCATGGTTAAGGAAAATGAATTTTATTCTGATAGCAACTGGAGGTTTAAAATAAGGGAGTAAATCATCACTAGCAGGTATATAGAGACAGTTTGAAGGGGCACAGGGAAAAGTGGAAGCAGATAATGTGGACATTGCTCTTTGAGAGATGTAGTGTCTTTTTGGACAGGGTGGTGGCATGACAGGTAAGAAGTGGCTGAATTCAGAATACATATAAGAAAGAGCTGATGGTATTGGATGATCAGTAAAGGTTTGGAATCAAAGAATGTTCCTAGTTTTATGCCTGAACAAGTGAGTGAACTGTTGGTAGTATTGTTTGTGGGAGGAAAATTTGAATCCAAATGTTGTTTCAGTACTTACTGGTTACATTAAAAAAAAAAATGTTTTTATTCATTTTAGAGAGAGGAAAGGATACAGAAACATCCATGAGAGAGAAACATTGAGATATCTGCATGGGGTGACACCCAACCCACTTAGCCACAGGGGACAATGAAGTACATGTTAAATTTGAGATACCTATCCTTTTTACCCCTTTCCATAAGATTTTCTGTACTATCTACATCTTTCAAAAATGAGGACTCCCTTTCCTGTAACTAGTTAGCTATAAACTCATTTTCTTCCTCTAGTGAGGATTATTCTTTCTCACTTTAAACCAGTAATTTTTCCGTAAGTATGCAAGAAATTTACCTACACACATTTCAACACACAAAACACAAGGTGTAGACTGTTTTTCAGTAAAAGCCATCAAAGTGAATAGTTAAAAAAAAAAAAAAATGAAAAAAACCCTATCTACAAAATAGGTAAATGTGATCAATATTAGTAATAAAAATGGACTTTTTGATGCAACAGGACAATTTTTAAAAATATTCTATTTACAGTGCTTACTAGAAACTACGCACATAAGCTCTTCACAAATGTTAGCTTATTTAATACCGAGGACCAACCTCTATAGTAGGCATTCAACAAGTTTTACAAATTTATTAACAGATTGGACACTAGTAATAGGATAATTTAAAATTTGTTCAACAAAACCATCAAATTAAACCTGTCCCTGTCTGGAAGTGATTTCTTCAATTTTACCTGTGTTTATGCTATTTAAAACATGTTTTGAATAAATATGGGAATGTTTAACAATAAAGTCTACCTTTTGGTCTTATCAGAGTCCTATATGTAAGCAAACTAATGGATAAAGTGGTAATACTTGGTGCAACTATTTATAAACATATTTTTAATATATTTTTTTATTGATCTTTTACAGAGAGGAAGGGAAAGAGGGATAGAGAGCTAGAAACGTGGATGAGAGAGAAACATCGATCAGCTGCCTCTTGCACACCCCCTACCGGGGATGTGCCGGCAACCAATGTACATGCCCTCGACCAGAATCGAACTTGGGACCCTTCAGTCTGCAGACTGACACTCTACCACTGAGCCAAACCGGCTTCAGCTATAAATATATTTTTAAATATACAACACATATATATGTAAAAACCATATCTCATTTTTATTATTCTTATGATTCCAAATATTAAGTTATACTTTTAACTTATTAATAGGTTAAAATGCTCAGTAATAAATGTACATACATGTATTTATATACCCATATGTATTACATTTAGAGGCGTATTCAGTGTTTTAGCATGCTGTCTTACAAAGCAGAAGAAAAAGTTCAGAAGACAGAACTGTTGGGAAAAAGGTAGGGAAGAATATAAAGAAGTGTTGTTCTTCCTTGACCTTTCCTAACATAAAGAACAGGTGAAGCAGAATGTCTAGTGAAATGGATAACCATGTAAGACATTTTCCACTGGCTACATCAGCACCACTTGGAGTTTAATTTACACACTGTCTAGTAATATTCCAAAGTACATTGCACTCCGTAAACATGACAAAGACCTCTTTTGTTTTATGCTTATATTTATATTTTTTATTTATGAGTGACAGATAACCCTTTGCCCTTCCATGGTATATTTTAAATTGGATTACTGTGAGTTGTTTTTTGTTTTTTTTTCTGGAAGTTGGTTTTACAAAAAACAAACAAACAAGGAAATCAGGAATTTTATTTACTCCAAATGAACGGCACTTTACATGAATACGTTCTATTACTCAGACAGAAATAATTTACAGTCCCAAAACAAACGTGGAGAGGGTCTTTCTGAGTCCACCATGTCCAGGAGTAACAAAAAGGGAAGCGTTTATCAATATAAAAAGGAAACAGGTTTATTACTTCAAAGAGAACAAATTTAACGTCACTCTGAGTGACAATTATTTTTCTGGAAAGCAGAGGCTTTTTACTCTCCTTAAGTTTCCACCAAAGCCACCATCATTTCAAACAGCCCTGCTGGTAGCCCAGTCAGTTATTGGCGGCAAAAAATGCTATAAACCTAACAGCTTGCGCAAATCTCCCCCAAAGTGCTTTAAAAACCTACTCCCCAGTCTGTTCCCTCCCGCCAAGTTTAAATTTTTAAAAAAAAAAAAAAAAAAAAAAGGGGAGGGAAGGAAGGGTGGCGAGTAGAAGGTACCGGTGGTCTCGCAGACGGGCACTCACGTCTCAGGAGGACGGAGACGCGCGGCGGCGCCCGGCCCGGGCCCCGGAGGCCGCGGGGCTGAGGGAGGAGCGCGGGGCCGCGATCCACGGGCCTCAGGTGCCGGGCCAGGGGGCGTTCCGGGAGGACGCGGGGCGGGGTGTCCGACACGTACACAAACACAAACACGCTCCCCGGCCCCGGGAGGGCGGACCACGCCACCTCACCGCTCCCGGCCCCGGGCCCCCCGCGGCCCACCTCGCACCCGGGGCCCGTGCCCGCAGGGAACCAGCCCGCCCAGGGGGACTGGAGCTGCCGCAGGCTCCGCTCGCTGTAACGGCCGCGGCGAAGCTACGAGCCGCCCGGGGAGCGGGAGGGAGAGGCGGTGGAGGCTGCGGGCGGAGGGATGGCGGAGTGAAGCGCCTCTCCCAGCCGCTGTCCGACGCGCGGGAAGCGGCCAACCCACCCCCCAACCTCGTCCGGTCGGCTATAGCCTCTCCCACCTTCCGCCGCCGCCGCCTAAGGGAAGCCGGAACGACGGGGGTCACGGTGGGGGTCAGAGGGTAAAGGTCTTGCTCCCAGCAGCCTCCGCGGTGGATACGTCGCCATCTTGGATCCGCGGGACAAGAAAATTCATGCGGTGAGTTTTTGGCAAATTTTCGGAAGTCTGGCAGCGGGGCGCGCGGCTGGGGCGGCGGATTCGGGGCCCCCGCAAGGCGGGGGAATGCCTCGGGGCCGGTCCGGTCGCGCCTGGGGTCCGCGGGCACCGTCCCGGCCTGCCGCTTCCCGTTGCTTTTGTCTCGGCTCCAATCGAGAGAGGGAGAGCAGAGCGGGCGGGGAGGGGGGGTGGCGGCGGTGGAGGGAGGGAGGGAGGGAAGGAGGGAGGGGGTGTGTATAGGGAGGGTGGTGGATGGGACGTAAAGCGTCGCGGTACTTGGGTGTTGCAGCAGCAGCAGCAGTAGCAGTAGCAGCAGCAGCTCTGGGTCGTAGGCCCGGTCCCCTCGGTGGGCGCTGGGCTTTTCCTCAGACTCCGCTCTCCTCTCACGGGCTCCCGCCGGCGCGAGGAGCCTGCGCCGCGCTGCTTCCTGGGGAGGAGGAGAAGGAAGGCGGCGGCGGCGGCGGCGGCCCGGGAGCCCGGGCCCTCTTGTAGACGGCGCTGCCGCCTCCCCCAAAGCCGCCGCGGCCCCGTGCTGTTCACGTTCTCTCAATAACACGCACATCACCTGCAGCGTGTGTGTGTGTGTGTGTGTGTGTGTGTGTATGTGTGTGTAAAGATGGGTGCTTTGGGACTGCCTAACGGGTCTCGTAGCCTCCAGGCTCTGGGATGCCGGAGGACCTGGGTGATGGGAGGAGGAGCGCAGCTGTGATGCTTCCTCGGCCGCCGCACCCGGAGGCCGGCGCTTCCGTGGTCTGGTGGAGGCTGAGCCCGGCTAGTCCGGCGGCGGCGGCGGCGGCGGAGGAACCCTAGACGGTTCTGCCTGTGAAGTTGCTAGCTCTGGGGTTCTACTTCCGTCGGGGCCTCTCCCCACCTTTCGCTGGCTTCGGTCTCACGTAAAAGTTTTTACGGAAGAAACGAGTGGCGTTACAAGAGGCCTCTCCTAGCTCTTAGCCGAGGCTGTGTTTTGTCCGTCCAGGAGACAGAAGCCCCGTACAGTCTCTTGGTGACTGGTGATCGTTTTTTTGAATGCAACTTGAAGTTTCCTTTAGGAAAAGCATTGCCAAGGCTTTAGAATTTGCATTTATTCCAGGCCCCCGTGAGTACGGCGTTACCTCCATAAAAGTCTTACATACGGGTACCGCACTCGCGAAAGGAACCCAAACATCAACTTCCTTTGAATCCTAAGAGATGCTTTCAACATCCTGAAGACCGAATGCAACACTTTTTTTTTCTTTTCTTTTCCATTTTCATAAAGCTCTTGGTCATAAAGCTCCTTTCCTAATCTTCAGGACAGTTTCTAATAAGTATAAGAAAATAGACACTGATGTGACCCCTTAGATTCTTGGTGGAATGGTAGGCGGTATTGAGTTAAAATTTGTTCGTGAGGGAGGCCGTACATGAATTTAGTTCACAGTTGAACACATTTTCTGACATGCTTGATATTATTAGGAATGTCTAGATTTCTGGAATAAGTGCAACTTTTGGTTTGCCCTTTGAAACAACATAAGTGGGAGTGGGGGGATATGGAAATATCTAGTATTTACATATCTTGTTTATGTTTAGTTATTAGGGAACACTTCCTGTTATTTGACCACATTTGTTTCCAAATGTCAATGAACACATTCTTTTGCAATTATGGACAACGACTTTTCTAGATTTAAAGGGTTAAGAATCACAGTGGACTGAACTGTTAAGAGTCTGTTATATTTAAAATGGTTAGATGTCTACACTCTGAGCTCTCTTTATTGAAATACTTCTAAATGGACCAAGTTCTTTAGTAAGCTTTTTATGTAGATCAACTCTTTAGTATGTAGTTCTTTCGTAATACTAAATCAGAAGGAAAAATTCACTGTGAAAAAGGCAAAACTGCTGCACTTTCTTGACCTCTTAAGATCCTCATTTAATTTTAAAAAGTTCATTTCTATAATTTTTTTTTCCTGAGGGCTTGAATTGCAGTGACTTCTATGAATACTTTGTGTATTAGAAAGGAGCGGAGAAACTTTCACATTTTTTTTGCATCCTAATTAATGCTATTTCAATAAAAGTAAATTAATGTAGGTATCATTTGTTGGCAGAAACCTTTTATTCTAAGTATACTATGTAGAGCTATCTGTAACCCAATATGATAACTCTTGGGGAATGAGAATTGTCTGCATATTTAACCAAGCAACAAATACAACCTTTAAAACATTTTCAGTTTCTATAATACTTTCGTTTTAAAGTAAATTTCATGTAGTGGAAAAACAAGGGCAAAATTTATACATATGAGTGACTTATATCCCGTTCATTCGAAAAGCATTTGATCTTGAAGATAAAATAAAACTAGTTCTGCAAAGAGAACTAATTACCTATGTTTATACATTAGAACTTTGGATATTTAATTTATTTTATTATTTTTGAGAGATACTTTACAGTTAGTGATAGCCTGAAAATTCTGTTTATTCAAAAGTAAATAAGTACTTTAGATTAATGAGTAGATTTCTCTAGAAGTGCTTCTGACCTAGTTTTGGTTTTTATCTCTACAGTAGATATTGATGTTAAAAGTACTTGTATTGGGGGGGGGAAATTCTACAGAATTTTTTTCTCAATCCTTGGGGAGTTATAGTACTTCCCTTTTTAGTGACAAATTTGCTTCATAACATTTTCTGATACTATAGAAAAATCATGCTTCATGTAGGTATATGAAATACTGAGTTTTATAGACTAGTAAGGAAGTTAACATTTTTTTTGCTCTTTGTCTTAAAATTTTTCAGTGTAGAAAGTTCATTCAATTACAATTACATAAAAACAAACTTTCTATGTGCTTGCTTAAGTAAGCATGTGAAGACAACTTATGCAAATAGTGATACAGTCTTAGGAGAAGATACTACTGAATAAGATTTTATTTGTTACATAGACTTCTAGTGGATTTTATAATACAAAGAAGCAAAAGAAACCAAGGTACCAGGTAGGGCAGTTTTACAGGCAGAGTTACTCTGAGTTACACTGTAATGTTTGAATAGAATTATATACAATATTGATGTCAAGGGATCCAGTACCATGATAGAAGTCATTCTGGTTGATTATACAGTGACTGTCCTTATTAAGGATGATTTCTACCTCTGATACTTAAATGAATTTCATTGTGGCTTTGACCACATATTTTAAAAAGAGCTATATACTAAAATTGATGTCTCTTGTAGAAAGTCTGTCTTTGAAAAGAAATAGAACAGTCATTAGGATTTTAAGTTTTTAGAGTTATTTTATTTATTACCTTTGTTTTGTTCATTGAACCTTTTCTTCAATTTAAATAGTGTATATATTTTTTCTTACTTCGGTGTTGTTTCTTTAACTTGGCTTCCTTTTTTTAAACTTTAAAGACTCCTTTCTTATGACAAGCCATGCTGATATGGCTTGTTCATTTATTTACTTTGTCTATAAGGATGACCTGAAAAAATAATTTCTAACAGCTTGTTCTTTGAAATATAGATGCAAATTTCCAGGTATCACTTGGGGGTATGCTTCATTTGGAACTAATAAAATGGTTTGTAATATTTTTTTTGTAAGACCCAGAACTTATATACTAATATGGAAATGCAAAATGAATTATCCAGGAGGGAAAAGGAAATTTCCCTTCTCTGAATACACTTTAATATGTTATATATGCTTAGACTCAGGGTCCAAGTCTGTTTATATACTACACTAAATACTGGATAGGTTTGCCATTTATTCTGAAAGTGCCCCTCTCTTTTTATTTCTTTCAGGTGAATGTATTTAGGTGTGTATGGGGGAGGGATATTTTTACTATCACTTCTCTGTTGTTTTACAGACTTATTCAAAAGTCTACTCTGGTGTCTCTTTTTTTCTTTTTTTTTTCTTTCATATGAATTTTTTTTTTTATTGTTTAAAGTATTGATGTCGCTTTCTTAATGAAAATTTAGCTGACCCCCATACTGCTTTTGGTGAACATGTCATGCTGTATTGTAATTTACTGTCCAAACCCATTATCCACTGTAAGCACCTAAGAGGTAGTACTTTGTCCTATTTATCTTTACATTTCTAGAATTTTTCTCTAGTGCACAGTACTTAGTAGGTATCAATAAATATGCAATAAACAGAACAGGTGCCAGATTGTAATTGGACACTCAGTGCTGTCAGAGTGCTCTGTTTCCCAGTCTACATATCAGACAGGTTGGAAGGGGATGGGAGAAGGCCATCCTGCATTCCCTCACTTCTTTGAGTCCTTATGGTTTTGTTTCTATATTATCGATAGAAAACAGATAACCAGCTTCTTAGAGAAATGTATGTAGAATGTGTGCAGGTCTGAGGGAAGGATGTTAGTGATAAAGTGCTTCTGGCAGAGTGCTTAGATCTATATATCTTACTGTATTTTGTATGCCTAAGGTCACAAGGTCATTGGTTGAAGGAGTTATTTTGTATTTATAGTTACATGGTGATATGTATTTACCATTGCTTAACTGTGTTCATATATAATATAAGTGCTATTTTAACTTTCTAAAATCTTAAAAATTGCAGTTTGAGAAAAATCTGGCCTTTAAGGGTTTGAATAAGAGATTATACACTAGTTTTGTACCTTCCCCCCCCCCCTTTTTTAAATGTAGAAATCAAAACAGGGTAATGACTGTTTTGAGGAGATGCTAACATTTAACTTAGATTTTAGAAATCATGCCATTTGTTTTATTTGCTTACATGTTTTTCAGAGGCTTTATAATGACTAAAAACTACTAAAGATAGAGAGGGTATTTATGATTATTTTTATTTTTATTTATTTGTCTTAGAGAGAAACATTGATCAGTTGCCTTACACATGCACCCCAACTAGAGATGGAACCTGCAACCTAGTTATGTGTCCTGACTGGAAATTGAACCCACAACCTTTTGGTATAGGGGATGATGCTCAACCAGTTGAGCTACCCGGCCGGGGCAAGAGGGTATATTTTTTAAAAGAGAACTCGATTCATTGCTCAGGACACCAATCCTTTC